TTAGCATCCATTCTGGATAGTTATTCATTTTTAGAGCTTGCTTGACATGCTGTGTTTCTCTAGTTCTGTCCTCGTTTTCCGTAACCAAGGTGTGAGCTCTCAACATAAGGGTGTTAACCACAGCTCTTTTGTGTTGTAGATGATGGTTTGACTGGAAGTTTAGGTACTGGTCCGTGTGCATAGGTTTGCGGTACACGGAGATCTTGGTAGAACCATCTTGGTTAATACTCACACAGGTATCAAGGAAAGGAATCCTGCCATCCTTTTCTTGTTCCGAAGTGAACTGGATGTGTTGGTCAATGGAGTTTAGATGTTCTGAGAAGGAATCGACGGCGTTTTTGTGAATCTTGGCCATCGTGTCATCAACATATCGATACCACATAGTTGGAGGGGTGGGGGCGGTGTCCAGAGCTCTGCTCTCGAGCTGTTCCATGTAGCCACAATGGGGTCTCCAATTTCCCCTGTAGTGGCCAATCTCTACATGGAACAGCTCGAGATTTAATTGCATTCAACACAAGCTTCTGAGACAGACCTTTCAGTTGGCTCTGTTCACATAAAAAATTAAAAATGCTTGGTACAATATACACAGTACTAGACAGATTGCTGTCCATGAGAAAACAAGGAAAGTAATACACTCCAAAGGTAACGATTTCATACAGTATTATCACAATAATTAATTACATCAAATGTTCATTTTCATTATTTTCTGAATAAATTAACAACGGAAAAGCTAACTGGAACATTTCAATATTGTGTAACTGGAAGTAACATGGGTCCCTTCTACTAATTAAATGAACTTGAACATAACTTGTGAACTTAGCTTACAGTTAGAGAACAAAAATTAAGCCTTTGGAACAACATCAGTGACAATTTTAGTCTTGTTGTTGTAAGTTATTTCCACTAGAGGTAGATCAAGGAAAACTTCAGTAATATTCTCTTCTGTTTGGGGCATATCTTTTTTTCCTATTGTAATCAGTAGGTTTTTTATTGTTTGATCAAAAATTGTAAGTGTAAGGTTGGTGTTCTCATCAATCTTCACTACTACTTGTAGGTAGTTATTTTTTTAGACTTTGCCAAACTTTTGTTTAAGGTCACAATTGGCACTCTTCATATTGTTGGTGTTTTCATCATAATACATGAAGTTACTGGTATTAACACTAAGACTTAAAATGAGGTGAAGGTACTTAGATTTAAATGGAGAAAAAAGTATATTAAGTTGTTATTATATACACTGGCTAGAAAATTGTTTGCTACTATTGAGAGAAAGGGGAAAACAAATAACAATGAAAAAAATTTGCAAACTTACCTCTATCCCTATGTTTATTCTCTGATTGAAAAAAGTGTAAGAAGGTTGCCAAAAAGCAGAACAACCTTCAAAATTGCATTTTAATTTTAGGTTATCTTATTGAGGAATTTCATCAAGGAAAATTAGTATTTTTAGATCAGTTACTTGTCAGTTAACTAACTGACTTCACATGTGTGCCTATTTTCAAGTTTCTATCCTTTAATTTATGCAAAAACAATGGCTTGTGATCTGAAAAATTGGAACATCTTATCACTACATGCATAAATTATGATGATGGATTTCAAGTAAATTGCTGAATTACTCTTCCTACATTGAATTCTGTTGGTACTTTATAGCATTCTCAAACATCTTACACGGAGTTACATGTTTGTTCAATTTTCAACAATATCAAGTTGTTTTAATCAAGGCACATATTGCTTTATGATCAGTAAATATGTTTCCAGAATGAGTACAGTCATTTCTGATTCAGGAAAATTGGTATGTTTATGGTCAATAGTTGTTCGATTATCAGTAGTATAGGATGATACCAATTGTCTGTAATTGTTATCTCTTATAAACAAGTTATAGAGGGGAACTTTCTCTTTTTGAATGAAGTAATTTACTTTAAAATCCCCAAGAAAAACATTCAAATCAAAACAGCAACTATCAAGAATTTGGGTCAATGCTAGACACATTTGTTGGACTGACACTTTTGGTGACCTGTATACACCTATGATGTTAACATGGGGAATGGCAACAACTTTGATAATGGTTATTTTTACTCCATTGGTGTTTTTGGCTAGTGGATATCCAGGGATAAAAGGGATTTTAGTGTATACAGCTGTTTCAGCAAAGGGCCTTTGTAGTGAGTATTGAAGATTCACTGTCATTTGGAAATATAGTATACCCACTTATGGCATAGCTGTCTAAATGGTGTAGTCTTGTTTCTGAGAAAATATTGATATCCATATTTGAATAGTTTAGGTCACTTTGTATGTCTTCAATATGTTTATGCAGAGATCTTGAATTAAGGAAGCAAATTTTAAAAGTACTTGGGTCTAATTCAAAGTTCGGGGTATTAGAAATTTTGGTATGGCAATCTGTGCATAACTACAGCATGTGAACATTAACATAGTGATTAACAGCTATTTTACTTTCAGAAAGGTCAGTTATGTAAAGTCCATCAATTGTTGTCACTCTGCTGAGTCCTACATAATGCACACAAGGTATTGCTCTTTTGGTTTTAAAGTTAACAGCTGTTCTGTTTCTTCCTACTGCAAATTGTGCAATGATAGGTTGGATATAGGAGTTCATGTAGGTTCAATTCCTTACAAATACAATTGCTTGTTATCATGTCTAGTCTTTTCTCCAACATCAACATGGTCAAATTGTACCCAAATTATACCAGATGTTTACTTTTGTCATATAATGTAATCTTTTTGATAATATTACTCGTCCCATTTGTGATACCGTCATCAGCTCTTGTATTTAATGCTATCTCTGATCTCTCACCCTCAGCAAGTTGAAGGTTTGAGGCTAACTGCTTGGTTTTACTAGGTATTTGGTTTAACATCTTAATTCTGAGTTCTGGAGTGATTGCACCTATAATACTGCCTAAAGCTTTAATGGTGTATTTATCACTAGTAGCTGCCATATGGACTCTATTGTTCTACTCATCTACTTTAGAATTCTGTATAAACAAATGAGGAATATCAGTTGGTTAGTCTCTACAATTTTCTGAAATGCACCTCTCTTTAAGTTTGGCAGTGTCATCTGTGGTGTGATTACCTTCTCTTAATCTGTTAAGAATTTCAGCAAATTGTTTACTTTCTCTCTGCCTCATGATTTCTTGTAATTCAAACATGGTAAAAAGTTCTTTCCGGAGGTTGGGAGAAAGAGTTTCATACTCTGAGTCCTTTAAACACATATCTGAGTCCTTTAAACACATATCTATCCATACCTGGTTCTCGCTGAAATAAATCACCCAGTGCAATAACACTAACACCCCCAAATGCCTCTTTGCTGCCTTTAATATCTTTTTATTGATGGACGCTGAATAAACTTCGCTCATCAAAAGTTGTTTTGTGAGGATATTTCTTCATTCTGGAATCAGAAAGTATGTGAGGAAGCATGGTGTCAGAAGTGGGATGCAGATATTGATGGATAGGAAGGAGTGCTCTATATTTCCGCTGGGAAAGCATCTCTCCCGGGCTAAGGTGACCTGGTCTGATTGGGGTCGCACAATAAATCAGCATTGCAAGATGTGGATCAGAACCCGACTCTTTGGCCTTCTCCATTATGCCCTTTACAACTTTGACTATAGCCTCAATGAAACCATTTGACTGAGGATACCTCAGGTTAGAGTGTTGCACCTCAAATCTGTACTGTATGGCAAATTTGAATTCTTGGGACACAAACTGGGTTCCCATATCTGTGTACACCGTTGCTGGTATCCCATGTTCTGAAAATATCATCTTGAGAAGACTTATCCTGGGTCCCACCATCTGATCGGTCAGTTTCTTTACAAAGGGGAACTTGCTGAAGTAGTTGGCAACCAGTAGGTAGTAGTGAGAATGATACTCAAACACTTCAACTCCAAGTTTAAACCATGGCAAGCTGGGCACATCATGCGGTACTTGCTGTTCCTTCTGTTGAGCAGGCTTCATGTATACGTCACATAATTTAACTGCATTTCTCACATCATCCGAGATCCTGGGCCAAAAGACTGTCTCTCATGCTCTTAACAGAGTTTTCTCACCTCTTAGGTGGCCCACATGAAGATCCTCTGGATACTCTGCTCTCAGTGAAGTTGGAATCACAAGTCAATGTGCTTTGAATATCAGGCCATCTCCAACTGCAAGTTCTTCATGGTAATTCCAATAATGTTGCAATTGTTCTGGGAGTTGCTGCCTCTGAAGCAGCCAACCGTGAAAGATGTAATGCCTTAACTGGTTCAAGGCTGGATCAGCAGTGGTGGCAACTTTTGTTCTGTCAAGTTGGTTTTCTGTTGCTGGAACATTTGAAGTGATGTGATGCATTGGCATCACATCCATCTGCTTTGAATTCATAGGCTTTGGACTGAGAGGGTCAACTCGACTAAGGACGTCTGCAATTGAGTTGTCCTTCCCACAGATGTACTCAACTTATATTTCGTATCTTGCAAGCCTCAGAAGAAGTCGTTGAAGTCTCGGGCAGGCAATGACAATACTTTCTTGCAAATCATTTCTAGAGGTTTGTGATCTGTTTGATGGCCTCAACCTTTTTGTTGTCGATCTTCATACCCTCTGGCGTGATGGTCTGTCTGAAGAAATCACACTTGGTTGTTTTAAACCGGAAGAACTTACAAGCGTAAAATATTTTCCTCCGTGGAGTTCAGCACTAACTTCATTGATAGTCGTCGTGTAGTACTGGTTCCTTTTGATGCTCTTGTTCAGGTCCTTTGGATCTAGGCATAGTCAAATTGATGCATCAGGCTTAGAGATAGGAATGACGCTACTAATCCAGTCTGTGTGTCTCTGAACTGGTTCAATGATTCCCGAACTGCACAATCTTTTAAGCTCTTCTTTGTATGCTGCTTTCTTCTTTTCAGGTACTGCTCATGGTGGATGTTGTACAGGTTGTGCGTCTGGCTTGAGCTGGATGTGATACTTGCCCCCTGGTAGTTTTCCTATACCTTCGAATGTATCTCTGAATTTGGATAACACATACTCCTTTGCTAAGGGCAAACAGTGTCTCCATTCAAGATGACAGCATCATCCAACACCTCACATGTAAGCTTGTTAACCTTACTGGAATCTGGTTGCAGAGTGTTAACACTTGTATGGATTTGTGGTGTACTGGTTAAGGAGGGTGGGGTTACCTCTGGAAAGGCAATGTAGCCAACTTGCTGGGCTGTTTCTCTGCTTAGGATGAGATACCCTCGAGTATCAGTCACTTGACTAGTCGCCATCTGTGGCTGTTGTCTATCACCAGTATGAATTGCAATAGTGCATGCTCCTAGGTTTGCTACAGGGGATTCTCCATATCCAAATATCTGCACAGAGGTAGGGGTAAGACTCTTGTCTCCAAATAAGGATTTGTGTAGATACAAAGGCATCACGTTACATCCTGCACCTGTATCAATCTCGCATTCAACCTCATATATGGGTCCTCCACTTGCTGTACTTAACCAAAGAGGTTTGATGTGCTTGCTTGAAGTATCATCAATACTCTTCACATGAAAAGTCTGAATATGGTGAAACAGTGTGTGTTGGTTGTCCTATGGTACATGTGGACCAAACATCGTGTGGTAGTCCTGTGCAGGATCATGAACTGAAGTCTGATTGGCATTGGCTCCTGTCAGCAGTACTTGTAAACCATGTACTTGAACCTGCCTAGGTTCACTGGTCGTACCTCGTTTACCTGTTTTGCTCTTGCAGCACTTTTTGTGATGTCCCTTCTTTCCACTCTTGTGACAAGTAACATCCTTGGCCGGACACTGCAATCTGGGGTGAGCAGGCTTTGCGCCACAAGAAAAACAACTTTGTCTCTTTGTCTCACTATGCTCTTTATCTTTAGACATCTTGTTTCTATTTGACCACTCTGTTGATTTCCTGCCCTTTTGATGCTTTGTTTGCACTTTGTGAATCTGTGTTGATCCTTGTTGTATTGCTGTTACTGCTGCGGTTGCTGTACTGACAGTATGCATAATTGATCTTTGACAATTGCTGTTGTACAGGAGAGTTGGAACTTTGATCACTCGTTCGGTGGTGAGGGAGTCCTGGACTTTTTCCAAACACTTTTGATAAACTTCTGGATTCTTTAGACCGAGGAGAATAGTGTTCCTGAGAGCCATGTCCTTCGTGTCTTCTGGCCATCCACATGCATCAGTGATTTGCCTGCACTTTTTGATGTTTTCTGGTAGTTCCATATCACCTTGAGTCAGCGCTTTGTACTGTGTAGCCACGACTAGTTTGTTCCCTCTGGGTTTGCATTGCTCCTCCACCTCTCCAAGATGTATCTCCCATTTCTTGTGATCATTGGATGAAATTGTTGCCTTGTCCAAAATATTTTGTCTGCGTTCACCTGACCACTGATAAATGCATAGACAAACAAACTCCGGGTCTGCTTTGGTCATTACAAGACCTCTGCATAAAATGGATACCTCCTTTTTCCATTCTAGGAAACATTTGTGAAGTTTTCTGTAGTTTTTCCAATCCAAGATTGGTCCTTTCATGAGAACTTCCATGGTGAACTTGGCTTCCAGATCATAGACTAGACTTTTACTCCTGACACCATGCTTCCTCATACATACTTACATACTTTATATATTCTAGAAGCAAACTATATATACAGGTTAAGGAAAAAAAAAGGTACTTCTAGAAAAGGAAGTTTGGAGGTTAACCCCATCTAAAAACTCCCTTAAAATAAAATCAATAAGTAAATAAAAATAAAATAAAAATCAAGATCTATATAATTAAATATTGAGATACGATTTAAGTTTAGATTTAAAATGCTGAAAGCTATCAGCTTCCACTATATCACTTGGTAACTCATTCCATAATTTGATAATCCTAACGAAAAAAGAATGTTCTTTCTGATTCCAGCATGAGGAAATATCCTGACAAGACAACTTTTGACGAATGAAGTTTATTTAGCATCCTAACAGTTTCAACTACAAAGTCACACTGCACAATGACTAATATTTTTAGTGCGATCTGTAGCCAATTGAATATGAACAAAGAATGGTCTGTATTGGGAATAATGATCTAAACAACCGTCAGCTAATTGAATATGTAATAACGTATTGCAACAATCTATCGTTTATTTGTACATTAAACATAGTATTTCCTACCATAAATATCTCATCTAGAAATATTAGTTTGAGTGCGTGGAGTCTAGTGGTTTGTAATTCTTAAGTGATTGGCATGCTGGTATTTGCAAGGCACTATGTATTGTGTTACCTCTGATAGAAAAAGCAGCTTTTCCAGTGGGGGCAAGGAACAATATTTTGACTTGATGGAAATCTTCTCTATGTCTGGAGTTATAATATTTTGATGCTGCCTGATATAATGCTTTGACAAGATGGGACCTACCCACTCCAGCTCCTCTAGAGAGAAAATATTAAAATGGTTTGTCTGATGTTTAAATAAGATGCAAGACATGATAAAAAAAAACTCTTTGCTTTTTATTTAGTATTTGTACTAATTTTCTATAATCATTGTCTTGCAGCTCATTTAATATCAGTGGTTCAGTACTTGTTGTCACAAAAGGAATTCAAATATCTTCTGATAGGTCATAGTTCTCATTGAAGTCAGGATGTAGGTCATGAACACCTTCATAGTCATCCTAGTATTCTATATTTAGTGTAAATGGTGCTGTTGAATCAAACTGATCATTGCTCAGCGTATTATCTTTAATGTGCTCCTGAATTTTATCAATTTCATTGCTGTAAACAGCATATTGTTTCATTTGGTCATTTATGGCATCTTTCATAAGTAAAAATCGGGCCTTATAAGAAGAACAATTAAATATTAAGTCAGTTTCCTCATTTCTCCATGATGTGAAGATCATAATTGTGTCATTTGATCAAATGTGTCAAGTTTTAGAGCCCTCACCGAAAAGGTCAAAATTGACTCTGAATAAACAATTTTCTTTGTCCTGGACTGTCCTTGCATATTTTTGCTAAATTTTGGCGAAATAGCACTACAAACCAAATAAATGCGATTTTTGCCATCAGAATAGACAAATCATCTCACAGTAAAAATTTCATGGAATTTTGTGATCTGCCAAAATTCAAGTGGTCGGTTCTTATGCAGACAGCCTCTCTTAAAGGCTTCACTTGTATCCTTTGATTCTACTTTTTCTGGATTTGAAAGTAGTTGCAGACATTCCCTCCTCACTCTTGGTGTAATAAAGTCAAACACGTCTCCATCCATTACCCTTGACAACTTGGCCACCCCCCTCAACTTATCTTTGTGTAATGGGATTCCCATGTTGGTACCTCCATAATTTCCAGGGAAAGAGAATATGTACATATGAATGTTGTGCCGCGTAGCACTGGGAACACAAATGGTGAAACAGAGAATATAGAAGGGTTTATTAAAAAGTATTCAAAAATAGCACCCCAGTGGTGAAATACATGTGAATTTACAAGTATACTTTAAATATTTAAAAAATACGACAATCTTACATTTGACTTTAAAATTAAAAGTCTAAGGGGACTGGGAATTACAAGAGTCAGTAGTTATATACCAATGAAAAACGCTTAGGTTTGCTTGACTACAAGAACTGGGCGTTAGACGCCATTGTTGGAAAGAAAGATTTTTAAATCTTTCGGTCCGGCATTTAAAGAGTGATACATGGTTTTGTTGCGCAACTCATAAACGTGGCAATCGGCGCGCTTTGGTGGAATAAGGTGGTACAGCCGTGACCCAGGCACACAGATACCGTCCCAAACTTTCTTGCAGAGTTCGTCTCTTCTCACATTTAAGCGAGTGGAGTTTGCAGCCACAATGGCGTCTTTGTAGCTCAGCGCCGGAAATAATATACGCAGAGCTCTTTTCTGAACTCTTTCGATCATGTCCTTGAGGTAAATTGGTAGGCTAGTAGACCAAGTGACGCAGGCGTATTCGAGGACCGATCGTACCAAGGCATAAAATATCTTAATAAGGTCTTCGGGTGGAATTCCGGACCGCTTGAGCACTCTTAAGATGTAAAGACGTTTTGAGGCTTTGGAGACAATCTCACGCACGTGCTCATTCCACCCAAGAGTGTCGCTGATAGTGACTCCAAGGACCTTGTGTGAGGAGACCCGTTCTAAGGGACGTCCATTGACGCACAAAGGGCCAAGATCTGGCCGTGTTCTAAGCGAACAAATCACAAGTTCCTTGCACTTCTTTGGGTTGAGGTTCATATTATTGCGCGACGACCACTGTGCAATGGCGTCAAGATCTTTCTGAAGGGACGATGTACCGCCTGATGGGATGACCTCGGATATTGTTAGGTCATCTACATATTTCCAGTGGCTCAATAGTAATGGAGTTTCAATCGCGAGATCGTTAATCATCAGGAGGAACAGGATGGGGCCAAGCTTAGTGCCCTGCGGGACTCCAGCGTGCACGGGCAACCAAGGGGATACAATGTTCTTAATCTTAACAGCTTGGCGCCGGCCATAAAGAAAACTGCAAATCCAACGGATAATAACTCAGAATTAACTCAGAAGTGTAAATTAAAGTGCTACTTAAACCCATGAATAACCCACAGGGCGTTAGCCCTAATAAAGGGAAACAGGGAACCACACGAGGCAAAGAAAAAATCTTTTGACCTCGGTGGGAATCGAACCCACAACCTCTGGATTAGATCTACCGTTACTCTGCCGACTGAGCTACGAGGTCGCACAGAGAAAGTTGGGGATGATTTAGGATGGTGAATCGCGGCGAAGAGAAAGTAAGGGTACATATGAATGTTGTGCCGCGTAGCACTGGGAACACAAATGGTGAAACAGAGATCAAAGTGATAGTGAAACAAATGACTCACAATGAAACAGCAACGGATAAAGAAAGTGCAAGGAGAGATTTACTCCATGAAACAAAGATTGTCAGAACTAGAGGTTATGTTTGGAATTATTTCTGTTTCTACTGTTTGGCCCTCAACCATCTCATTATTTTGGGTAAATATTTCTTAAATGTTAATGCTTTAAATACCATAATGTACAAATTAGATTGTTTTGTCTCACTTGTGCACAAAAGAATTAATCTAGGAAAAATATGTTGCAGTCACTTGTAATGAGGAGAAGGATTTCAGGAACAAATGGAAATTTTTTCTGTCCTTATAAAATTGTACTGTGTCCTTTTTTCTTTTCAACTTTTGTATTTTGATTTGTTTCTTTTTGCTATTTTATTTATTTAATAATCTATTAAATTCTAGAAAATTAATACCCTATGTAGTGTAATTAACAAACAAAATTCTTATTAGTAATTTGAACAACATGCAAACAATAACATAAATAGATCAACTGTAATTCTATTTGACTAGTGTACTTGTATTGTAATATATATATTGTAAGTAGTGCAAGTTAATGTAATGTAAGCATTGTGTAAGAAGTAAGTATAGTGTAAGTACATATGTATATATGTTATTTGCTGGCTGAGAGGTCTGTGTGGTGAAAAACTGTGACTGAGTTCTTGAAAATGTTGCCCTTGGCCTACGGCCTTGGGCAGCATTTTCAAGGCCAAGGTCACAGTTTTTCACCATACAGACTGACCCTGAGGCGGTAAATAACATTTTTTTTTTTAAACTTAACAAAATACATTCTGAAAGAACCCGAATGATTTAGGGCTATAAATACGGCAAGATCTTCCATAAACTGAACAATTTTTGAGCGAGTAAATGGTAGTTAAAGTAAAGGTGATACAAATTAAAGAGAGATGCTTCACTGAAACATTTTCACTTGCGTAAATAAAGGTGATAAAGGCTTCCAAACAAAGTTTGAAACATTATTTTTACAAGTGTCTGTCACAATCTGACACTTATCAAGTAGAGAGTGCGTAAGAAAAAAAAAGCGCAAGAAGATTTGAAAAACAAAGGAACTAGTTTGGCAAGGACTGTCATGACAATGTTTTCTTCAAAAACAATCAATGATATAACGGAAAGTATTATTCACTCTCATCGACGATTCATTCATGTAGGAAGATTTACCTCTGTTCATTAAGTAAACAGTCAGGAACGTAATTGTGAGTAAATTCAAATTTTTTATTTTGAAGTTGTGAGAGTTTGCTCGTTTGTTTGCTTTGACACATGGGATTTAATGCGGCCTTTTCTCAATAAATTCCTTCAGTTTCTGTTGTGCAATTTATGGTCTAAATGTCCAAATTGAACGGACTTGGAAAGACTCACTGAGAGCATATATTTATTGTCGAACTGAAATTAAAACTTCGCTTGCTCTTCCACTACGAACAAATTGTTTGAGAAAATTCAGATATTAAATGAATGAAAGTTCCTTTGTTCAGTTTACCTGTAGCCAAATACCTCACGTTTTAACTTTCTTGGTACTTTTTGTGAACGATTAAAATCAATTGCAGACGGTTTTTAGGCCGCTATTACTTACACAAATTCATTCTGAAACCAATATTTTTTTGTCAACCAAAGTGATTTGAGAGAGAGAAAAGAGAGGATTCATAAGTCGACTTGAGGTAGTGACCGATGTGTTTGCATAAAAATACTGCCCAGCCGGCA